TGACTGGCGTTGATTTTCATGCAGATACCTGACTGGGAGTCAGGTAAAACAATACTACCTTTTCGAAGCACTCAATTCTGTGTCCTGTTCTGGCCTTGCCGAGAATCTGGTGTAATATCACCATCTTCGTAATTATCATCGATCATCACAGTTGTTGTTTAAGCACAGTATACAACGAAAATAATTTCTTCATGAATCATTTTAAACTGGCAACTACGAACATGAGCACGTCCTTACTTTGGCCTCTCGTGAGTAAGAACATGGGACTTCAAATTAGTACTTTGTGCGAACCGCTTTTCACAGCCACGGCAAGGACACACGTAAGGCTTATCACCTAAAGTTGACCACATTACAACTTTAAACAGAAGCACTTTAAACAAGTATGCAAATCACCAGTATGGATCCGAACATGAGTTCGAAGATTGAAATCGAGAGAAAACCTTTTGCCGCATCCCTCGAACGTACACTAAAAACAGAAAACGCCTTTAAAGCGAGGTTCTATATAAATCAATACGCACCTTAAACGGTTTTTCGCCTGTGTGCACCAACTGATGCCGCCTAAGTTTACTCGCTTCTACAAACGCCTTTTCGCACTCGGGACAGACGTGGACTCGTGGGCCGTGAGTATGCAGGTGCTTTCGCATCGCAGAGTTGTCCCGAAACCTCTTGTTGCAGCCCTATAAAATAATATGCTGATGGCTGCTTTACATTATCGCCATAAAAAGGTTCATAAGGCTCAAACAAAAAACAGCAACAAACAAACAGTTAACGTATAACTGCAAAAAAATTTACATATTGAGTCGACTGAAATTGTGACGTCTTCTGCTTGTGAAGTCTAATACCGGCAGGTCATAAAAGCGCTTTCTTATACAGCAGTAGCAAGCACCGTCAAAGGCAGATATGCCTCAAGTCTTAGCAGCATGCTGTCTCTCTGGAGGACCCATTCCATCTTTTGAAGCTTACATAAAAAGTGCGAGAAAAGCAACAAGGGATTTGTGAACGAATTTTTGAACAATATCCCTTTTTTCCTGTCTAATTCCACAGAACACAATTTTCTGCTGAAGAAGATAAAATGCTTCTGACATGATATTCGCATTCAACTTCATTACGTATCGAAGTCGATAATGTTATATGCTAACGAACCTGTCCTTCGAAAAAAACCGCATCTTACATACAGTCAAACAAGATTTTGTGAGGAATTTCATTTGTCCTTCTCAACCTTGGACGAACTGTGAATAACAGTGTGAATTACTATGAACAACCGTCATACTGAAGTTGATTTCAAGCAAATATCACGCAACTGAAAAATCCAGTAAACCACCCCTAAAGACATTCCTATGTCTTTAATAATATCATCAACACATATGGCTAAAGAATTAATACTAACGTACGAACAAACAAGAGTATTAAAATTCCATTAAAGAAAGCTACAGCTCATTTCTTACAGTCAGAGAAATGTCCAAGAATTATTTACAGAAAATTCTGTTCAAATAGGAGCAAGTTTCAAATTGACCCTTTGTTCTGCTGTCGTCAAACCGGCGCAATGATTATCTAATATAATGAGACATATTTAGGTGGTTGACTTAGCTAAAGGAACTTCGTCCAAGCAAGATCCTTATCAGATTTGTGCAGGATCTCCTGTACATGTGGACATTAAGAACAACAGCAATGTAATACGCAACAAAATAAGATATACTGGCACCCGTAACTTCACCCGTACCTTGTGAGGACATGCGACAGTCTTGAGATAATCGTCGACAAGGCGTTTCGGACGAATTTTTGCGAATTCAGCCAGCTGCTTTTTGTCGGCCAGGTCGAAGGTGCCAACGGTTGAGGCAGCGAATCGCTTGACGGCGCCGGCGGTTGCCTCGTTCCTCTGCAATCTCAAGTTCGCATCGCCTTTGCAGAAGCCGTCGTCAACCAACACGTCATTCGGCTGACAGTCGTCGTAGGCATCCAACGACAGCGAGTTCGAAGGCGAACATGGAAAGTCGATGCACGAATTGTCACCAAGATCATCTACAGCAAGCAATGCTTATTTACGCTTCCATACCTTGAACGAGTTCATCAACATCATCCTCTATATTTTCTTTAATAAACAATGATACGGCACGATTGAAGCTTGATATGAGCACATGAAGGAATTGTCATGCGCCCAAACCGTACATTACATCACAATTAAACTACAAAACGTTCAGTACATTAATTGTACTATACTTTGTATAAGTACAAAGTTACTGACTTATTCGTACTACTTAGCAGATATTAGCAACCTACAACCTAGTAATTATTAATCATCGTACAATATATAGTAGAACATTTCATACCATCAGTACAATAAAATGATTTTACTCTCTGAGAGCAAATCAGAATATACTAGAAAATAAATTACAATATGCTACTTGACATTGTACCACACCGCAAGTTTTCAAACCATAACTTGTAGCAAGCTTACACTTCACTAAAAGCAAGCATTTGAAACTTTTAGCTGACTATTATTGTACTGCATTGCAAAATGGAATACAATAAAAACCTAATATAATTACATTTCAAATATCAGAACAATCTGGTGAAACAGAGTCAATGGACATAGTGACACTCTATCTGCTTTTACGTGCTTAGGAAAATGTTCAAGTAGGTAATTGGTTGAGTGGTATTTTAGTACCAACAATGCATTGGTGAATCTCATATCGAATATAAGTAGTAGATACAGTAATATACAGCAACTACAATAGCACATTTAATGATAATACCGTAAGTGATACACTGCAGCAGAGAAAATTACATTATGCTATACTAAGAAACTGCGAAGTTATAAGTCAGCAGTATTCAGTAATCCACTAAACATAAGTTATTATAACGGCATATACTATACTCTACATCCGATCGAATAGTCTATTTGCGTATTATTACAATATTGTGCAATATGGTACTTAATAGTAACATTGTATCAGTTTATATCGTACCATACAATTAAACTAAGCCACCTTCTATATATGAGATACTAATGGTTATACAGTTACGCCCAGGACTAAACATATGTTACCAATTTCTTAGGTTATATACTATACCACCGTCGGAATGATTAGTTTATTCTCACGGCATGATACGTAATATTGCAATAATAATACTGAAAAACGATTGTTGGTCTAGTGTCGTGCCATAAACAGGGAGAGCAGCTATGTTTATGAGGCGCATAAAGACGTCAAAAATATCAGTTCGATGGCAAGCTGAGTGAGGAAGAGGAAAGGCTCTTCTACCCTTGTCTCAGTACGATTACTAACGCAGCACGTAATAGAAACAGTTTTTAACGCATGAATAACGACGACAAAACTGCGTAAAGCAACACTGGCATCGACGCATGAGGGGCAAATGGTAGCATCACGTAGGAATGACTCGAGCGAGCACGTGTCATGAGTAGATGTGGGAACGAGGAAACCGAGTTTAGATAAATTAGTACAGTATAAACCGTTTACTGTAGCCCAAGATTTACTTGTACCGGAGACGAAACATAGCAAACGCTGACCAGGAAGGCCTCATGCAACATGAAGGAACAAGTTAGAAATAGATCTGAGTCAAGAGACGAAGTATTAAACTATCGTTATGCTGCAAAAATAATCCGGATTTGAATACAAAAAAGAATATCAATAGCACTGAATTGTTAAGACTTCATGTTTCTAATTAAAAGTTGATTTTTAGTTAAGGATTAATTGCTTTACCTCCTGTATGTTACTGTCCATGTACTTTTGTACCTTAAAGTGCTTAAGAGTAGTTAATTCATACGTTATATCTATATCGGAAGCCAAAACAGACCATTATGACAGTTAACGAAATAGTCCATCAAGGCGAGTCTCAACATCCTTCGTTTTCTATCAGTTTAAATTCTAAGACTTCATACGTTACTCTAGATGCCACTGTTTTGTTCAGGCATAGTTTGAACATTACAGAAATAATGCATAGTTTACGTAGAATACATGTTACCTCTTAACCTAGACATGTAATCCTATACTTTACCTTTTAGTCATTGCTTTATCTGCATTACATCGAAGTCAAAACTTAATTTTGGAAACAATGACACAACAGACGTAGTGCACCATATATGTACAAACGTACATACGGCAATTTAGTAACATTGTGTCAGAGAAATATACTACGATACGAAAAAATCTCGAATGCACTACGTGTAAACTAAATAACGAATGGGCATTTTCTGTCATTAACGATATCACAGGGGTATCTGTTTTCAGCAAAAGCACGGAGACGATCCTGCATCAACAAAGTATACCAAAATTTAACCTGCGATAATACGAAGAGTCAATATAAGAAAGAGATGAAGAACACAACACAAGAGAACCGGATCCTAACGTAGAGTCGACATGAGAAACGATAATTCTAGCTTTGAAGTTAGTCAAAAAAAAGTTTAAAAACGGCTTTTTCAATATACAGGCGAAAAATTTATTTTAATTAATAGTCATTTGGAGTTACTGATGCCGATTTGTAGAAAGGGTTTTGTGCAATCAAAAAGCAATTAAAGAACATGCCAAAAAAAAATTTTTTTTTAAGAAAATTCAGACAATTAAGTAATCAATACATAGTGAATACGTGCGAAAGTCTTAAGCAAGGTTTAAATATGACGATCAAACTTACCAAAGTTTCAGAAATGAATGAACTTAGTTATTCTGATGAGAACACAGGAAAAACGATCTGTTACATTATCCGTTTACACAAAATCGGTGTGGACCTTCCAATCTGTCCAACAGCCGTAAACATCCTAAGAACTGCACTGTAGGAATAATGCGTTAGTTTGTATGTGGTGAACTCCTGATTCTAGCAAAGAAAGTTTCAATTACAAGGTAATTAATCAAAATTCCAAGATCCGAGAAATAGACAAAATAATCTCAGCATAAATTTATCAAACGGAATAGACAGTACTTCACTGTGCAGCAAAATGAATCATACTCTTAGGTATTTCTGACACGAATATAATATTAAAATAATCTGTACAACAAAGGATTAAAAACTACGTAACAATATATACAGTCAACGTGACAAATTCGATGCTAAAATAAATTCACAAGGCACTGATTCGAAGTCCAAAGGAGGAAACATGAATCTACGAAAAAAAGACTACCTGAACTGGTCCACATGGTTGTGGAGAACTCGCTGCTCAACGTCTTTACGCTCACCAGGCATGGACTCCATTTCGGGTTCAGATTCAAGCTCATCGGCAAATCGGCCTTTGACGTGACCAACGAAGAAACACTGGCCGGTGAGGTTTTGCGACAACGGTCAGGCTTTCTGCCGCCGGCAGAAGGCCTTCGGCGGAATTTTTGACGTTTGGAAGTAGCCGGTGGAGAGTGCATTAGGGAGACAGGAGAAATGAATCCAGGCAGCGGTAGATCAACTGACGGAAAGTTGAGGTGCGAAAACTCATGCAGTTCGGAGGCCGCGGCTACAGAAAGAAGGTCGTCGTCGTCGCCATCCTGCATCATTACCCCGTCAAGGTTGTGATCATCCGGTATCATCAGGTAAGAACCGTTGATGAATGAGTCGAATGCGGTCATCGCAGATCAACACCTGACAAGAGCCACACTCTAAAAAATATACCTTTCCACACGTATTACAGCAAGCAAGCAAAGGAATATGAAATAATTCCTGTAATGCCCACTGTAGATTAACACGTAAGCAGGAAGCTTTGATATGAGCATCAAAACTGACAGTTTTGTGCTGAAAGCATTGTCTTCACATAAAGGACGAATAGAAACTGGTTGAGCAAAATTGCTGAAGAATCCTGATTTTCGATATGAAGAAAACTACTGAAGATATGTGATAGATTGAACAAAATATGTAACTGTGGTAACAATGCAAGCAGGTCCGACTGAAAACAATACTATGAACATCAACGCAAAAATTGACACAGTGAAAAACAATCGCGTCCTATAGAATACACAATTATTTTTAGTCGAAAATGTTTTTTATAACGCAAGACTGCTAAACTTGATTTTTTTTGTTCATCTGATAGATCACTGTATGTGGCATCTTACTGTCCGCTAAAGCTACTTCGTGCTCATCACGAACGATATTTCATGAACTGGTGCTCACACGTTACTGCCTCAATTTCATATGTCGTTCGTATACGAGTAGGTCCAATAACGAATGAATCAATGAATACTTTTACTCATTGAATAGAGTCACCAACGAATGTGATTTTTCAGCATAACAAAATTTATAGATGAAATATCACAGATAGAGCAAAAATAACACAAAATCTCAGATAGGAAAGAACAGAAACGTAACCTGTATAAGACAATAGAATCAAAAGTATGACAGGTTCAACTTTGTCATGTAAATCTGCTTGACAACTTCAGATTCTCACAGAGATTCAGCTGAAGATTAAATATCGTTTACCTGAAGAACTCGGTCTTCATCGGTGTGCTAACATGCATTGCGCAGGCTAAGCAATTTCGGGACGAGCGCCCAGAGGAACAAATAATAAATGACGTAAAATGTTCTGAAAGATGTTTCTTTCCGTCCTGACGCTGAGTGCCACTACAGCGACTCTATAAAGTTAGTTCCCAGGTGTGTAAATTGGACACCAGATTCTGATTTTGAAGACCATCTTCAATTATCTGCGAAACATCTTAAAACCGAACGAAAGAAGACAATGTAGTACAACGACAGCATCATGGGTACTGAATGGTAAAAAACATTAAATGTTGAAGCCTTCGTCGGAATGTTTCGGCGTGTATTTGCATCAGTCCTGTAATATAAAATGCTTCCCAATTACAGCGACGTTCTACGGCTTTTACATGTCCATGTCAGGAGATGTAACTCGTATTATAAGTCATAGGTATTTTATGTGCTTTTGGAGCTGTAAGATTTCACTTTTAATATTCAGAACATGTTCAAAATGATAAAGTGCCTGAGTTTTAATGTTTCGAATAATACATCATCATTTGCATGTTTTGGAAGAGTTGTGCTCAAACTGGTCGGATGAAAGGAAGCCATGCACACCAATTATGACTTCTCCATGATCATTTTGCGCTGCGACAATCTCTGCTCCAAGCTGCATATTGACAGATCGTATACATCCACATGAATCCTAAACATCGGGAGTTTGTTTAATAAAATTTAGATTTGGCGTAACTACTTTGAACATTTAGTGATGAACTGCGTTTTTTCCGATCTTTAATTCTTTCAGATGCAGCTCTGAAACAGTCTGTCAAATATAACACCGCCAAAGTTCAGTTGTTCATTGCGGCGCACTAACGTCACAAAACGCTATGTATCTCAAAGGCTGAACAGTTTCTTAAGCACTCGTAAACTGGTCAAATTGGTAAACTATGCGTAGATTTGAGAATGCAGCAGCATAAGTTCATTCATTTATTACATGAAAGAAGCTTCACTTGAGAATGAATTTTTCCGTGAGTGCCATCATTCTTCCTTAAAGCAAAGATGGTTGAATCAGGATTTCGTTTACCGTCGTCGATCACAAAGATCAGTTGTACGAAGTTACGTGAAATAAGCCATCATTAAATTCATTTCTGTTAAAACGATCCTGCATGAAAATTACCGCTTCTTTTGCAAGTTAAGTAATTGTACGACTGCCGGAATGGAGCATTAACTGAAGAACCTGAAACATATTTTGTTTCATCTCAGGATTTATTAATGACAGTTCATCGGGATAGTCCACTTCGTGAATGGTTCAACAGACCGCAGCTGCCGGTAGAATGGTGATAAAGCACATCTCTTAATTCATTTAATGAAGAGGTGACAGTGAATAAACTAAACGGTCTATACCGCTTTGATACACAGTGTTAAAAAATTCATTTTTGTTTCCTTTCTTATCAAGATTCGCT